AAACCCCCCCCAAAGATGTGTAAATCCTGAACAGGACTTTTCCAGGCTCCCTGTGAGACACTCTGCTACATATCAACAACCCCCAGCAAGGGTGACCCCAGGACAATCCGTCTACATTTCCCATCTTAGTGCCTGGTCTTTTTTTCTGTGAAAGAATAATCAAAACTACTGCTTCATCCGTCCATTTTTTTTCTGGGACATCAATTTGAGAGGCGCATAGTCAGTCACCAGGTCAAAATGGCATCTTAACAAACAGTATCTTGGTGCATCCAATGCCCATTTTATAGCTTAACATTCTTTTTAATCTTAGCTTTTTTTTCTTGTATATTAAAGCGGCATTAAACCCAAAACCAAAAATGTAATATACTGTATTGCACCCTACCAGTCATTAGATGTGGTGGCTGCATTAGTTTTCTTTTTTTAGGCTTTTTCCTTCTGTTTTTGTCTGCTGATCTGGCCAGTAACACACATCCTGTATTCGAGTGCCTCCACTCTGGATGAAGGAGCACAGGGGGCACCTATAGCAGCAGCATTTTTTGTCTAGGGGAAGGGGAATGTTAAAAAATTTAAAAACAGTGACAAATTGAAGGCAAACTCCAGTTAACACTTTATAATCAGTTACAGCAAGAAGTTTTTCCTTTTACTTTTTACATAAATAATTGATCACTGATCATTGTAAGCACTCCTGCCAGTGCCAAATGGTTTGTCCCATCCCCGTAACTGAGATGTACATCAGCGTTTTTCAACCACTGTGCCGCGGCACACTAGTGTGCCGTGAGATATTGTCTGGTGTGCCGTGGGAAAAATTGCAATTTCATCCGTAACATGTGGCCTTGGCTCACAAATAGACCAATCATTAGAACAGCAATGGGCAAACTACGGCCCGCGGGCCGTATACGGCCCGGCGGACCTTTTAATCCGGCCCGCGGAGCGTGATACTGTCAGGATGATCTGTCCCCCTCGACGTATCTGCGCATGTGCCGGAGATCGCCGATCGGCTGCTAATGCCTGAAACTGGCACATGCGCAGATACGTCGAGGGGGACAGATCCTCATAGGAGACAGATTTTCATGCTACACCGGAACGGCGAGAGGAACGCGCGTAGCAAAGGTAAGTGAATTGACACAGGGGGGGCTTGGGGACTTAATATGGGGGATGAATTAATATGGGGGATGAATTACTATGGGGGATGAATTACTATATGGGGGATGAATTACTATATGGGGGATGAATTACTATGGGGGATGAATTACTATGGGGGATGAATTACTATGGGGGATGAATTACTATATGGGGGATTAATTACTATATGGGGGATGAATTACTATATGGGGGATGAATTACTATGGGGGATGAATTACTATGGGGGATGAATTACTATGGGGGATGAATTACTATATGGGGGATGAATTACTATGGGGGATGAATTACTATATGGGGGATTAATTACTATGGGGGATGAATTACTATATGGGGGATTAATTACTATGGGGGATGAATTACTATGGGGGATGAATTACTATATGGGGGATGAATTACTATGGGGGATGAATTACTATATGGGGGATGAATTACTATATGGGGGATGAATTACTATGGGGGATGAATTACTATATGGGGGATTAATTACTATGCTTACTATGGGGGAATATTACTATACTTACTATGGATGACACATACACATCATTCATCTACTCTTGGTCCGGCCCCTGGGTCAATTATAAAATACTTTATTATTTCATAATAAAGTAATTATAAAATAATTTCTTTGTGTTTGATTCCTATTCAAGAGAATTACTTTATATATAGTCAATATAGGCACAGAGGTAAATTTTTTTAACATTTTCTAATGGTGGTGTGCCTCGTGATTTTTTTTCATGAAAAAAGTGTGCCTTTGCACAAAAAAGGTTGAAAAACACTGATGTACATGATGGAAATGTTTCATTTTGGATTCATTCATATTAATTTTGTTTAGTCATATTCATTATGTTAGAATGATTCGTTTGCAAAATTTATTTCATATGTTCAGATTTGTAACGTGTATTCATTATTTTCAAAACAATTTGAAATTAGAAGATGGCTCTATTCGTTCTATTTTATTCTATTCTATTCTATTTAAATCTAATCTATTCTATTTTTTATTCTATTCTATTATTTTCTGTCCTACTCTATTCTATACTATTCTTTTATTTTCTATTCTATACTATTTTTTTCTATTCTTTTCCTTTCTGTTCTTTTCTGTTTTAATCTATTATAGTTCATTCTTTTATATTCTATTCTGTTCTGTTCATTTCTATTCTAGTTTATTCTATTTTTCGCACCGTTAATGGGTTAATTGTTCGGCTGTTTTTCGGGGTCTTTGCACATTTTTTTTATTGGGCATGTTGGAAAATTTGCAGCCGATTTTGATGATCGCCCGATTTTCCCGGCAATGATGGGCAAATCGACCGATCGTTTTACCGATAAAAAATCTGAGCATGAGCTGTGACCTGCAAGAAGAAGAAAAAGAAGAAGAATAAGAAGAATTCCAGTCCGCTATTATATTTTATATAAAAAAGTCTTGCGGTTGCAACAAATGTATCCATTTGTATCCAAATAAAAACATTGTAATCCAAAATAATCTTCTTCATCTTCTTCCTCTTCTTCTTCTTCTACTTCTTCTTCTTTTCCTTCTTCTTCCTCCCGTCTCTGCAAGGGACAGAAGTTATGGGGTTAATGCCGGCCATAGATGGGACAAAAATCGGCCAATTTTTTTAACGTTGGTGGTAACGTCTGCCGATCAAACAACCAATTTTTTTTTTTTTTAAATCAGCCAATTTTCGACCCGTCTGTGGTCTGCATTACTGTCTGATTTACCAGATGAAAATAGAAGAAAAAAGCATATAAAAGGAAACTAATACAGCCATCACATCTAAGAATTGGGTGGAGCGAACCCTCTGGCTGGTCCCGCTATCTTGTTCCAGGTCCACTTTCTCTCACAGTGTAAGAGCAGCCAGGCACACAGCATCATTTACACTACTGGCTCAATACATAGTCTAGAGGGGTGCTTGTACTGAATATAGTGCAGTGTAACTTGGTTAGGGCATAGGGAGCTGTGGGCTACTCTGGAATGTTGAACAGTAGTAAGGGGACGCCCTCTCATAGCAGCTACTTCTTTTTGAAAAGTCCTATAGTGACAGCTCTTGGGAAATAGCACTGGGCAGAAAAGCAATGTCCCAGGCTGGGCAAACCTCAGTATCGGTGTAACGGGGGTTAAGAGACAGCATTCACTCAGATCCTGCTCTCAGGTCTGTACTTCAAGTCCTTGGTTGCTTGGGTGCCCCTCTCATAGTCAGGCAGACAACTGCTTATTAGATTGGCCAGACTGGATGCTAGGTGAGATCCCCAGACTGGATCCTAGGTGAGATCCCCAGACTGAAGGTGAAGGATATCCGTGGAGGGTTGCAGCCCTTCTGGATGGGGGCTTTACCTACTGGACAAGGACCTTGACGGATGCAGCCCCAGACTATGTATGTTCTCTCCAACCACCTTCTAAGCTTTCCCCCTCAGGGATTGACTGGGACATCATAAATGTTCAAACTCAGCCTGTTCCCCTCCTATGTTCTGGATCTTTCCAGAAAGCAGGGAGAAGCAGTTGAGTGTGCAGCATGTGGGACCCTGATTAGTCCAGAGCAATCAACAGCAGCTCCACTGATAACACAGGAACACAAAAAAGAACTAAATTTACCTGACAGCCCAGCACCTAATGAGGAGGGTGTTACATAATAAATATTTGCTTTTGGGGCTAATACTGGTTTAGGCTCTCTGCTCATGTACACTACAGTGCTGTGTTCCGGCAGCAGTATGGCAACTTCCCGTTTGCTGATAGAACGAAAATGAGTCAGACTGAGTGCTTCAGAGGAAGCCTTGTATTTTCATCAGTAAATACAAGGTTTCTTCTGATTGGCTGAGGTGGACGTTGTGATCTCATTCGCCTACCTATCCACCTCACCCAATCAAAGGAAGCCTTGTATTCATTAATCGATTCCGCACCGCCCTATAGCAGAAATACTGCTACAGGGTGGCAAGGGTGTGCAAAATCACTTATATATACGTGATTCGCACTCTCGTGGTGTTCACGGGCCAGGGGGCGCGTGCGTGCCCCCACCGACTCTTGGGTGCTGTGATTTGATCCCCAAGGGATCAATCATATGATTTAGGCCAGTGGTGGTTGGCCTAAGTCAGATGATCAATCCCTGTCCTATCTGCGATCTTCCTGTACCTGTGTTTACACTTACACAGGTACAAGAAGTGATGACATCTTCTCCGTCTGAGCACATTCCGTCCCAGAGAGAGAAGAAAGAAGACACAGTGAGTAAAATCACTACACTTTCACAGTCAGAACACATTTTAGGACACATTTAACCTTTTGATCGCCCCCCCCCCCCAGTTAACCCCTTCACTGCCCTGTCACCAGTGTCATTAGTACAGTGTACAGATTTTTTGCTGATCACTGTATTAGTATCGCCAGTGACTTCAGATAGCGTTAGCGTCAGTTAGCATTAGTTAGCGCCCCTCCCAGTTAGCGTCAGATTGCCCATTAGTACACCAGTAATCATATTTAAATCTTTGAATGCCAGGAACATGCTCATACACAATAAACCTCCATTGCTAGTATAGTGTCTGAACGGATCAATATCTTTGATCAGATCAGCACTATACCAGCGTTCACATTAGTATAGTGTCCCCAAAAATGCAGCGTTAGTTAGATCAGCCCTGGCACCTGCCAACAACTGCGTTTAGCCCCTACACTTACCCCCCTTTCTCCACCAGCAAGTGCAGTGTCAGTAGGTCACTGTCATTTGATACATTGCAGACAAAACCGCAGTATTCGCAGTATCAGGCCTGATCTCTGTTAGCACTTGCCAGTAAATGTTTTGTAGTGGTTCAAGCAGTCCCTGATAGCCAGGTGCTCTTTTTCTCATGAGTCGCATTAGGTACCTATAAATTGAGAAGCCAAAATGTCAATTGAAAGGTACTCTATTGAAGAGGCCTACAGGATTCTGAGCCTGTCAGGTGAGAGCGAAGGGGAAGACTCACTCACAATCAACTTCAGAATACGAACCTATAGACAGCAGCGGCACCCTGACAGATATCTCAGACGATGGAGAAAAGGTCCCTGCTAAGATCAGGCGTACCCGGCCCCATTTCCAGGTTGCTGAACAGTTACAATCGCATGATGACTCTCATGCAGCAGAGTGCCAGTACTAGTGCCACTCTACCTTTCGGTGAACTGGCGAGCACCAGTGGCCTAGTACATCCTGGTCTTTTTTATACCAGCACTGCAGTATCACTTGGTGAGGTGAAGAGTCCCATAAGTGCAGTACAAGCTGGTGCGGTGGCGAGGACAAATATTGTCCCACAATCACCAAGAATTCTCACACAGGCCCATAGAGCCCCTAGTATCCTTCCGGATGTGCTTGCAAATCCTGAGTGGCAGCCCACAAATTCTGCAGCACTTGCCCCATTCCCTGCCCAACCTGGAATTAAGGTGGAAACAGCAAATTTAAATACTCGCCTTGTTTTTTTGGAGCTGTTTTTCACAGAAGATCTGTATGCATTGATTGTGGATCAAAGCAATTTATATGCAGAAGAGTTTATTGCCGCCAACCCAAATTCAAACCTTGCCAGACCATTCGCATGGAAAGCCATTACGGTTTCCAAAAGTAATTTTTACTTGGGCCTAACCCTCAACATGGGCATTACTAAAAAAAATGCATTGCTGTTGTATTGGTCCACAGACCCGATTCATCATATGCCATGTTCTCTGCTGCCATGGCCAGGCATAGATATGAGAGTATAATGTGTTTTATGCATTTCAACGACAATACACTCTGTCATCCTTGGGGTGACCTTGAATTTGACCGGCTCCACAACATTCGGCTCCTCGTAAATCACCTTAACCAAAAATTTGCATATGTCTATACTCTCCAGCAAAACATCTGTGTTGATGAGTCCCTTATTAATTTGTCTGGCCGTCTTGCATTCAAATAATTTCTCCCAAGCAAGCATGCCAGATATGGGGTCAAGGTGTATAAGTAATAAATTGAAACCTTGCGCCAAAGAAATAACAATCAAGCAAAATAAATTCTGCCGTTCAAAAAATGACAAAATATCAAACAAAACTCATAATGTAACACAGCGCAAATATTAAAAAATAAAATATAAAATTATAATATATAAGTCCAAGAAAAGTCCCAAATTAAAGTCCAGTGTCCCAAATAATGTGATAAAAAAGTGAAAGAAAAAAGACTATTTCATAAATTTTCCAGCATGCTCACATCATCAGTGGTGAATCATTTTCCCCACACTCACCAGATAAAGTGGATTCTCATGCTGATAAGGCTTTGAGAATCAAAACAGGCTTAAAGGTGGGGTGTAGTCTCCTCAGATGTTTTTCCATTTGTCGATTCCTTATTGAATCTCCCTCCAAGAACAATTCCACATAGGGCGATATAAAAAAATAAAATAACAAGTCAATAGTGTGATACTGTATGAGGCTCAGAAAAAAATATTAAATGACCTTCATCACACTCACATTGGGTAGATTTATAACCAGCTTACATGGACATAACAACCTCCCAAACATCCGATAATGATCCCTCCTTAACATCCTCCAAGCTCTCACTCATGGATGGATGGATGAGGGTGATTCAATTAATTTATAACCAACTTAGATAGACATCAAAGCCTCCCAAGCTGCCGCTAATGACAATGACGCCTTGTATGAGGGGAGAAACGCGTTGGCATAACTTCCAGTTCCCACCTTAATCGTATGACGTCATATCCGGTGAGTGGAATGCATACTGATGCGGGATTCCGTGGCCATCTTTAGTGTGGGAAAGACAATCTGATTTCCCCACTACAGTCAGTTCATCTCTGCAAATGCTGGTTAATTGTGTCTGTTTTGCTGGAAATGTCAGAGGGGCTGTTGTAGCCTGCTTAAGGAGTCCTCATTATATTATATATTATAATTTTATATTTTATTTTTTATTATTTGTGCTGTGTTACATTATACGTTTCAAGATGTATAAGACCCGTGAGAGGGCAACAGGCTATACATATAAGTTTCGGATTCATGAGGGAAAAAATAGTTACGTGGAGCCCCCTGGATGCCCAGACTACATGGGGAGCAGTGGCAATATAGTTTGGGACTTGGTGTCATCCTTTTTCCATATGGGGTACCAATTATACCTGGACAATTTTTATTCAAGCGTGCCACTATTTAGACATTTGTACACTCTTGCAATTGGCACATGTAGCACTGTGTGACCTAATCGCCGGGGCTTCCCACAACGTCTTGTAAATACCCATCTTAGAAAGGGGGAAAATGCCTACCTTAGAAATTAGGAATTGCTCGCAGTGAAGTGGAAGGAAGTGTTTTCGTCCTGTCTTGCATTCAGGCAGATATGACCATCCAAATTGCCACGGCAGCTGGTGTTGTTGAGAAGGCCCTCTGTGTCCAAGACTATAACCTTAATATGGGAGGGGTGAATTTCAATGACCAGATGATGAAGCTGAAAAACCAGACGCTGGTTCAAAAAGTGTCTGTTTATTTATTTCAATTGGCTCTATATAATGCTATATAATGCTTTTGTGTGGTTTTCAAAGCAAGTGGATGAAGTGGATCCTTCCTAAAATTTCAGGAAGAGATCATCATGGCCCTTTGTATCCCGAAGGTGCTGTGGCCCAAACCCCCTACCCAGATGCAGTTAGAGGCATTTTTCCAATGCCATTCCTGGTATCCCAACCTGAAGGACACCCCCAAAAAAATGTTGTGTCTGTAGCAGACATGGAATTAGGCGTGACACGCCTTTTTTTGTCCCTCCTGTCCTGACTAACCTGGTCTCTGCCTCAAGGGCTGCTTCCGTCGCTATCACACACTAGTGGAGTATTAGTATTGGGTAAAGCACGGCATAGTTCAGGACACATATTTACACAGGGTTTCGAAAGATGTTAGGTAGTCAGGAAACTATCTATCGCATTTTGAGAGACCCTATAATCTGGTTTAAAAAGTTAAAGTTTAAAGAAAAAAACCCCCATAAAAAATAAAAGTTAATAAAAAATTTTAAAAACCAAAAATAGTTGTAGTTTTTTTGTTCTTGTCGTTGTTGTTACTGTTCTACTGTTACGATTTTACTGTTTTATTGTTACTATTAGTGTTACTATTTTATTGTTAACCATTGCTGTTTTCTTTGCAGGAATGCCATTCAGCTGCAGCACCGACCTGTTTATTCTGACAGCAACAGAAACCTGCTCTCAGAATATACATAAGTCAGTGTGGGCAGCGCTGTTGGATGAGATTTTTCATCCGCAGTTAAAAAAAGAGCATATATGCCACATCATGGGGGCCTGGGGTGGCCAGTGGGTGGTTGGCCCCTATGCTTTGGCATATATTTTATAACATTTTTTGGCACATATTTCAATAAAAAGTTGTTTTATTGAGTTACTGTTTTATTGTTAACCATTTTATATAATATTTTTTGGAACATATTTCACAACAAAAAAAAATAGAACATTTCATTAGAAGTGGGTGGATGCAGGGTGGTATACTCTAATGGTGGGCATACCACACACTTTTTTCTGGCAGAGATTTCTTCTCTTTTTTCATTCAGCCCACAGGCTGCATTCAAAAAAAGGAACATAGCATATATACCCAACAAGAACCAGCGATATACTGGCACATCACTGAAATTTGAGTGTTTACACCAGGATGATGCCGGCAGCTGCAGGCATCATCTTGGTATAATTTTTTTCAGCTGGTGATCGGGTATTATGTAAAAGCAATTCTAGTGGCTAATTAGCTGCAGGATTGCTTTTACAAGCAGCGGGAGAAGATGCCCCCCTCCCCCGCTGCCTTCCACAACCTTCTTGGGCAGTCCCGTGTCATCGAGGGAACCTAAGAATGCAGCAGGTGTTATCTGCTAGCTGACCATAGAGCTGATTGGAGACCGGAATGGTACCAATTATCTCTATAGTCTAAGAAATCGGAAGCTACGAGCTTTTCATCACTTCAGTTTTGCAAGTTATAAACAGCGCCATTTGTAAATTGGGAAAGCATCTGATCACACCGATCTTTATTATATAATGTAAGGGCAGAGGAGATATCTGGAGTCTGATAGACCCCGGATTTCTCAAAAAAGAATATATGACAATGCCCATTGAAGTTATAGGGGATATTTGCATTCCCTGTGATAGCGTTAAAAGTGATCCAAAAAAAAAAGAAAGGGACAGTGTAAAAATAATTTAAAAAATCAAAATAACTTTAAAAAAAAAGCACCCGCCTGCGCAAGCATTTTTCTTTACACAAAATTGTAACTTAAATGATTTATTGATCATACATGCCATGGGTATATGTGGAATTACTCACCAAAATACATTCTGCTACTTCTCCCGAGTATGGGGGCACCACATGTGATAGGCTTTTTGGCAGTCTAGCCAAGTACAGGACCCCAAAATCCAATAAGCACCTTCAGGCTTTTAAAGGGCTTTATTTCCTCATTACACTTCCTGACTACCTATCACAGTTTCAGAGGCCCTGAAATGCCAGGATAGCACCAACCCCCCCAAATGACTTCTTTTTAAAAAGTAGACAACCTAAGGAATTTAATAAGAAGCATGGTGAGTATTTTGCCACAAGTTTTTGGAAAATGAAGAAAGAAAACAAAAACATATTTTTTTCTTTTATATTTCAAAACCTGGGAAAAAATTAGATCTTCAAAATACTCACCATGCCTCTTTTTAAATTCCTTTTAAATTCCGAAACTGTTATAGGTAGTGAGGAAGTGATATGAGGAAGTTACGCACCTTCAGGCTTTCAAAGTGGTCATTGGATTTCAGGCTCCTGTGTGTGGCTAGGCTCCCAAAAAGTCTCACACATGTGGTATCCCCATACTCAGTAGAAGTAGCAGAATGTATTTTGTTGTGTAATTTCACATATACCCATGGCTTGTGTGAGCAATATATCATTTAAGTGACAACTTTGTGAAAAAAAATGTTTTTGTCATTTTCCAAAAATTTGTGGAAAAAAAATAAATCTTCCATGGACTCAACATGCCTCTCAACAGATAGCTTAAGGTATTTGCTTTCTGAAAAGGGGTCATTTGGGGGTGTCCTATTATTTTAGCACCTCAAGAATTGTGAGGCAGTCAGAAAGTAAAATCTGTGTAAATTCCATTATCTATAGTTTATAGGCAATATACCTTTCACACAAAGCAATCAATATACACTTATTGGGATTTTGTCTACCAAAAACATGTAGCAGAATACATTTTGGCCTAAATTTATGACAAAATTTGAGGTTTTTGGATATTTTTTATGACAGAAGTGAGAAAATGTGTTTTTTTTTTAATTTTAGGACTTTGTTTTTTATAGCGCACAAAATAAAAGCGCACAGATGATCAAATACCACTGAAAGAAAGCTCTAATTGTGTGAAAAAATGGACATAAATTTAATGTATGTACAGCATTGCATGACCGTACAATTGTCAGGTAAACTAGTGCAGCACTGTATAGCAAAAAAATGGCGTAAATTGCAGTATCTATACCATAGTTTGTAGATGCTATAACTTTCACACAAACCAATCAATAATCACTTATTGGGATTTTTTTTACCAAAAATGTAGCAGCATACATTTTGGCTTAAATTTATGACTAACTTTGAGTTTACTATATATTGTTTATAGCCGAAAGTAAAAAATATTGTTCTTTTTTCAAAATTTTTGGTCTTTTTTTGTTTATAGCACTAAAAAAAAAGCGCACATGTGATCAAATACCACTAAAAGAAAGCTCTATTTGTGTGAAAGAAAAGACATACATTTCGTTTGGGTACAGCATTGCATAACTGCGCAATTATCAGTTGAAATAGTGCAGTGCCAAATAGCAAAAAAAGGCTTGGTCAGGAAGGGGGGTAAATTCTCAGGAGGGCAAGTAGTTAATAACAATACAAGGCATGCTCTATATGGCTGAGAAATACTTAGCCGGACTTGATTTTCTTCTTGCAGCAGACAAGAAGTTGCCAAGCTGGCTCAAACAATCTATTTAAAGTGACAGGAAACCTGAACTTTGCCTTTAAAGTAAGCATGTCACGTTCTCCATTCACTCCTGTGTACATACAGTGTCAGAGCTTACACAGGTCCAAGGCTATTATTGATTGGCTGCTCAAGTGGCGAGACATCACATAATGCTGTTTGCGGAGGTAGAGCGGAGGTCATGGGCAGGGGGCTTTGGGGGGAAGCAACTGAAATCTGGGGGGGTACAGCGCACCCCAGCACCCCCATAGATACAGTCATGCAGCTGCATGTTGCCCTCTTTTACATTTATAATAAAAAAAATATATTACGATAAAAATAAAGTTTTATTACTCAGATAGGTAAATGTTCTATATCAGTGTATTTTATTTGCAGCTCAAAGACAATTCATATTCTTCTAATGTGAGCCAGGAAGCTTTTGGACACCCCTGCCTTAATGTGTTCTCTGCATTAAAGCAAAAAAAACTTTTTACATGCAGCCCCCCTAAATACCCACCTGACCCCAATCTCGATCCAGTGCTGTGCATGTCCACAGCAGTTCCTCTCTCCTCTCCCGGCTCTCACAGGCTTGGCTGAGAGCAGTGGGAGCCATTGGCTTTTTCTGCTGTCAGTCAAATCCTGTGAGCAGAGAGCAGGGGGCTGGGCTGAGCCGGGCTATTGGTCTGAAAAGAAGCAAACAGCCTGGCTCGGCAGCGAACCTGCATAAGTGTCCACCATAGAAAGCGGCTTCCTATAGTGGGCACTCGATGGAGGGGAGGAGCCAAAAGCATTGGCAGGTGACCCCAGAAGAGGAGGATCAGGGGTGCTCTGTACAAAATCATTGCAAAGGGCAGGTAAGTATGGCATGCTTGTTATTTTAAAGAACAAAAAGGAAAGGCTTACAATCGCTTAAAAGGCGATGATGAAGCCTTTTAAAGCGGAGTTCCACCCAAAAGTGAAAGCTCCACTTATCTGCCTCCCCCCCCCCTGCTGCCACACCTGGCACCTTTTGTGGGGGGAGGGGGGAAAGGGTACCTGGTTTTGACAAGTATCAGCTCCCAATTCCAGCTCAGTTTACTGATGCGAACTGAGCTGGAAGTTCAGCCCTCAACAGGCCCCAGAGGACTGCGCCCCATTCACAAAGCGCAGGGTGATTCGTGCATGTGCAGTAGGAAACCACCTGTGAAGCTTCAAGGCTTTAAGGTTTCCCTTAATCAAGATGGTGGCGCTAGCACCAAAACAGCCAATTGAATTATCGGCTTGGGGTGAGGACACTGCTGAATTCCTGGACAGGTAATTGCCCAGATATTAAAAGTCAGCTACAGTATTTGTAGCTGCTGACTTTTTTTTGGGAGGGGGAACTCCACATTAAAGAACTGGAAGCTTGTGGTGTCATTTGTATTGATCTGATGTCTGGCATGGTGCTTCCCCAGCTTTTGTCAGTCATGGACCTTATGGTTCAGGATAGATTGCCTGCCTCTCCACAGTGGATGTAGTGTGTGAGGTGGGGGGGGGGGGGATGTGTGCTATTCACCGTGAAGTCATTGGCAATACTCAGGTACCTTCCAGTAAGGGCACCTCCATATAGTCCATATACTATTTTGTTTAAGTTTGCACTAATTAATTAGCATTGCATCTGTGATTTTAAGATTTTTCTAAGCTCAGTCCTACTATTAAAATTGCTTTCGATTCAATCATTAGGTGTAGCAAATGATCACTAAACAAATAGAACACATGGTTATCTATGGAGGAAGCTACACAACTAACATGTAGTAGCAATCAAGACCTATTTACACAACACCAATTGGGATGCATTGCTCAATGCAGATGCAATGAAATGACAAGCTGAAATCTATTTGTGCTGTGACAGCAACTTGTCTTTGTCTTGTTTATTATGATGTGTATGTTCCTTGGTTCCCCCCTCCAGTTTTGCCTCTAGTTAGTACAGTCTCTAGCTAGTAATTCTCTGCTCTGTTATGCTGCTCAGCTTTGTCCTTTTACACGTCAAAAAACTGTAAAACTTATTTTGTATGGCACTCATCTGAACTAAAAACTATGTTGGACACCCCATAGCAGTGCAAAATATTTATAGAAAAAAACTGGTTGGCAAAAACTGAAATAATTATGATGCAGTATGAACCTAGCAGCTTTCACCAAAAAAATTGCTTGTTGACTATTCAGACTGATACAGTTGGTTTAGAAGTACTGCATGGCAGACAGTCCCAGCTGATCAAGAATAAACGTGTAGAGTGACGTAACATCTAATGAGATCCATATACAAATCTCTTCCCATGTGTAGTTTTTTAGGGTATCCCTCAGGTGACCCAAGACTTAATGCACAGTGGTAAGTTCTGAACTAGGGGTTGTAAGAAGCCTTCGACATAGTCAGATAGATCATCTGTAAGACTATCCATTGTTGCCATGTTGGGTCTGCCAATAGGATTTTTCTGGCTCTTGTTGATTTTGGAGAGATGATAAAAATATGAAGCATTGTAAAATGCATGACAAAGGAAAGCTTTCTCATATTTTTCCTTCGTTTGTTGCCACCTCCACCAGTTCTATGAACCCTTTTTTTTAATTTTGCGAGGGGGTCCATGAAAATCAGCATGTGGGTAGCAGTGTCAGTAAGTAATCTCTGCTACTGCTTCAAATAATCTGCTCAGTTTTGAACCACGATGTTGCCCTCCTTATCTGCTTTCTAAATGATAATGTCTTGACTTTGTCCAGAATCACTTCTCACTTAATGTAAGCAAGTCCTTTGTGCTGATTTAAAAATATTGGTTAACTTAAGCTTTAACCTCCCTGGCGGTATTCCCGAGTGTAGCTCGGGGTAAAGTTTCAGTACCACAAGCGGTAACCCCGAGCTACACTCAGGCTTACCATGCGGCGCTGCTCCGCAATCCCTCGATCACTTACCTTGTCCTGCGCTCCCGCGATGTCCCTCCTGCAGTGTCCCGGCAATGTAATCCGGCGGATGCCGGCATCTGTCATCTGGGTTCCGTCCCCTGCGAGCGTCAGGACGTACGGGGGACGGAACTGGCGGGAAATTTGAAAATGACAAAAAGTGACATTCACTCAGTTCACTAAAATCACATAGTAAAACATTACTGTATCAAACCATTTCACATACATTTTGTCCCGAGTGCTTTGTCCTGTGCCCTGTCTGCATTTTTACTGTTCTTTCTGCATAGAAACTGAGAAACGTCCATGGAGTCCAAAAAAGCGTCCCTTTAGGTCAAAATCGGTTTTAGAATGGCTAAAGAACAGCGATAGTAAATTAGAACTACTTGCAGAATTGAGTGATAATGATTCGTGGGGAAATTCGTCATCAGACACTGAAAACGATTCTGCGACTTTGCTCAGCGATGTGCGAACTTGGCGCTATATTTCAAATTTCAGTGTTTTTGGTTTTGATTACATTATTGAATTAAATTTATTATTATATTATTATTTTTTATGATTATTTATTAAATTATATATTATAATTTCGTGTTTCAAGTTTTAACATACCCGGGATGTTTACTAGACTCTTGTTCGGACAGATTTCAGTGAGTTATTCCTAAAAATTACAGGTCTACAATAAAAAAAATACATATTTCCATGCAAAAAAATGTACCGCTTTCAGCACAGAAATATGGACATAATCAGACCGCTAGGGAGGTTAATTTGTAGCAGCCTCTGTGTTTGTGAGTAGAGATGAGCGAATTATTAAAAAATTCGGTTCGGCTGATTCGCCGAATTCGCCGATTAAATTCGCTTCGTGCCGAATATATTCGCTGCGAATTTAACTTATAAAAAGGGTGTTTCTAGGCTTCAGAGAGCCTTTATATTAGTGCAGAACACTGTATCTTTAATTTAAATGCCCTAGGAGTCTGCTGGGGAAGAGAAATAATACTGTCAGTCAGTATGACATGCAGATGAGTGCCGTCGATCTTAGAATCACCGCACACTTCACTCATTTGGGCAGTCACGGGGCCAAAACCAGAGTGTGGAGCCACAGTGTGGCGGTGGAGGCAGCAGCAATGGGAGGCCATACAGCACCCTATGACAAAATGGAACCCACCAGCAGTGTGAGGAGACCTGAAAGTGGCACATGGCAGAGTGTGGCGATGGAGACAGCAGCAATGGGAGGCCGTACAGGGACCCATGACACACTCTGGACCTGGCAGCAGCATGAGGAGGCGGTACAGGGGCCCATGACAGATTACGGGGCCTGGCAGCAGCATGAGGAGTCGGTACGGGGGCCCATGGCAGATTACGGGCCTGGCAGCAGCATGAGGAGGCGGTACAGGGGCCCATGGCAGAGTGGCGGAGCGTAAGCAGCTAAAATTGAAGGCCATACAGAGGCCTATGTTAAAAAGTCCCCAGCAGCAGCGTGGGGAGACGACTATCAAGAGTCCAATGGCAGAGAGTGGCGGAGCAGAAGCAGCTTCAATTGAAGGCCATACACAGGCCTAGGTTTAAAAGTCCCTCACAGTTAATTCCAATAACGAACTCTACTCCTCCGTGCAATCTACTTACGAGACCCTGGGCAGGTCTGGGTCCAATTTGTGGTAGAGACTGGTTTTGTTCAGCCATGCTTGAGCGAGTAATAACAGGTCTGTGCTGCCCTTGGTGTCTGGCTTAATGCGCACAACACTGAGCGTCCCAGCGTTTGTCAACGATTTGCCGTTAAGTGATGCAAACCCGCTGAACCACGTTCATGAGGAGCTGGTACAGGGGGCCATGAATCAGTATGGACCTGGCAGCAGCGTGAGCAGACGACAGAGGCACATGGCGCAGGGTGGCGGTGTAGGCAGCATTATTCTGAAGCCATACACAGGCCTAGGTTAAAAAGCGGAAGCCATCAGCAGCGTGAGCAGACGACAGAGACACATGGCGCAGGTGGCGGTGGATGCAGCAGTATTCGGAAGCCAAACACAGGCCTCGGTTAAAAAGCGGAAGCCGTCAGCAGCGTGAGCAGACGACAGAGGCACATGGCGCAGGGTGGCGGTGGAGGCAGCAGCAATGGAAGGCCATACAGCACCCTATCACAAAATGGAACCCACCAACAGTGTAAGGAGACCTGAAAGTGGCACATGGCAGAGTCTGGCGATGAAGTCAGCAGCAATGGGAGGCCGTACAGGGACCCCATGACACACTCTGGACCTGGCAGCAGCAAGAGGAGGCGGTACAGGGGCCCATGGCAGAGTGGCGAAGCGTAAGCAGCTTAAATTGAAGGCCATACAGAGGCCTATGTTAAAAAGTCCCCCCAGCAGCAGTGTGGGGAGACGACTATCAAGAGTCCAATGGCAGAGTGGCGGAGCAGAAGCAGCTTCAATTGAAGGCCATACACAGGCCTAGGTTAAAAAGTCCCCCCAGCAGCAGTGTGGGGAGACGACTATCAAGAGTCCAATGGCTGAGTGGCGATCCGGGAAGTCAGCGTTGTGATTGCAGATGCAATGCAGAAATTTTATGAGGTAATGCCGTGGGTGCGAAGAAGATCATATACAGTCGTACTTCCATCCATAGCTTCAAAGCTGACACTTAAAGGTATATCGACGGTCAGAGACCACAGGAAGTGGAGCTTGCGTCTTAAATCGACTGAATGTGGCAGACGTTGAAACGTCTACGGGCCGTATATGAAAAATTTCTGGAATAAGTGTTGGAAATGGCCACTCTTTTTGGTGTGGCATTTTGTCTATTTAATTCCGATAACGGACTCTACTCCTCCGTGCAATCTAGTTACGAGACCCTGGGCAGGTCTGGGTCCAATTTGTGGTAAAGACTGGTTTTGTTCAGCCATGCTTGAGCGAGTAATAACAGGTCTGTGCTGCCCTTTGGTGTCTGGCTTAATGCGCACAACACTGAACGTCCCAGCATTTGTCAACGATTTGCCGTTTAAGTGATGCAAACCCGCTGAACCACGTTCATTGGTACAGGGGGCCATGAATCAGTATGGACCTGGCAGCAGTGTGAGGAGACCCGAAAGTGGCACATGGCGAAGGGTGGCGGTGTAGGCAGCAGTATTCGGAAGACATACACAGGACTAGTTTAAAAAAGCGGAAGCCGTCAGCAGCGTGAGCAGACGACAGAGGCACATGGCGCAGGGTGGCGGTGGAGGCAGCAGTATTCGGAAGCCATACACAGCCTAGGTTTAAAACTGGAACCCAGCAGCGTGAGCAGACGACAAAGACGCACATGGCAGAGGATGGATCTGGCAGCAGTATGAGAAGGCGGTACAGGGGCCCGTGGCACAGTGTGGTGATGGGGGCTACAGCAAACTGGATGCCAGAAAGTGGCCGATAGGTGCTATATACTGCATGGAATTATAAAGTTGTAAAGACAGCAGCCTATAAGGGCTATACACACTATAACAATCATGACTTGATTGACCATTGGCCTATAAGGCTATACACAGCATGAATATCATGACTTATTCTGAGAGTGGTTTGGAAGGCTATATACAAAAAGTAATTCACGAGCTGTCCGGACAGCGGACAAATAAGTACATATATACAAATCAATTCATCAGCTGTCCAGCCAGCGGCCTCAAAGGCGACACATATAGAAAGCAATTCATGAGCTGTTCAGACAGCGGCCTCTAAGGCGACAGATATACAAAGCAATTCCCGAGGTGTTCAGGGAGCGGCCTGAACGGCTAGGTTATTACTAAATATATTTTTTGTGGCCAAACATCGGCCTATAAATAGATGTCTACACAGTGACAAAAAATTATGTCGCCAGACAGCGGCCCCTAAGGCGACAGATATACAAAGCAATTCCCGCGAGCGCACAGGGCCCACAGTGTCTGAGGATGGACGTTGGTGCAGAAAGGCAGAGACCAACTGACTACATAGGTGGTTTTTATAGTACTTTATTTTGGCCTCCCTCTCAGCAGGTGTGAAAAAGGCCACCATTTTTGAACGGTAGCGAGGGTCCAACAAGGTGAACAGCCAAAAGTCATCCCTCTGTCTGATGGTTATTATTCGGCTGTCGCTACGCAAGCAACCGAGCATGCTATGGGCCATTTGTGCCAAGGAATGCGAGGGACTCCCTGCCTCCATCTCCACAGCATACTGCCACGGTGCGTCTGGGTCCTCGGTCTCCTCCTCCTCCTCTACCAGATGCTCCTGCTCCTCCACTCCTGTCCGCTGAGTGGAAAAACCACCCATTTCACTCATTAATTCCTGAGCACCAATGTCCTCCTCTACCTCCTCCTCTTCTTCCTGTCCTGCCCCCACAGGGGTCATGTGGCGTTGAGATCTGTGCGCACCCTGACCAGCCATTGTTAACAGCATTTGTTCCAGGACGTGCAACAGAGGAATGACGTCGTTCATCCCATAGTCCTGCCGACTCACGAATAGCGTGGCCTCCTCAAAGGGCCTGAGCAAGCGGCAGGTGTCACGCATGAGCTGCCAATGGCTGACATCTAAGTTACACAGGGGAGTACCTTTATCCGCTTGTAACATCAGGAAATCGGTGATGGCCTTTCGCTGTTCGTAAAGGCGGTCTAACATATGTAGGGTTGAATTCCACCTTGTTGCAACGTCGCAGATCAGGCGATGCTGTGGAATTCCGTTTCTGCCGCTGCAGCTCAAGGAGGGTGTGCTTTGCGGTGTAGGAATGGCTGAAATGCATGCAAAGTTTACGTGACATTTTAAGGATGTCTTGCAGTGGGATGGTGGATTTTAGGAACCACTTGACAACCAGATTGAACACGTGAGCCATGCATGGCGCATGGCCACAACCTTCCTTGACGCAGAGCAGACACCATGTTCTTTCCGTTGTCGGTCAACTTGGTTCCGATTTTCAGTTTGCGCGGAGACAGCCATCTGTCGATTTCTCTGTTCATTACACTCAGAAGTTCCTCCCTGTGTGACTACGTTCGCCAAGGCATACCAGGTGCAGCACAGCGTGACACCGTTGCGCCTGCACATGTGATATGCGGTCGGGTAATGGGACTTGGCACGGGGGTGGCGGCTGAGGACACGGCGGAAGAAGAGGTGGTAGAGGCGGACATCTTTGCTGGACCAAGGACGTGCAAACGTGGAGGCAAAAAGCGGCGTGACCTGTCCAAGCTGCTGGTGTGGTTGTGCCGGCACCACGTTCACCCAGTGGGCCGTAAATGACATGTACTGTCCCTGACCGTA